CACATTGCCTTCTGGGTGCTGGCACACAAGCATGCGAGCGCGAACAATTTTTGGCACAGGATCCCAAAAAGGTTAGCCACCACTGGTCTAGGAGGCAAAACATGCTTTCTCTTTCACCACACTTACCCTGTTATGGCCAGGTTTTTATGGCTGTCTTAAAGGCTGCCACGTTGGGATCATCTGAATTTGAAGGGGACGTTGCTCCACCTTCCCTGTGGAACAATATCCCCCTCGAATTCAGATGATCCCAACCTGCCAACTTTAAAACCTGGCCATAGTGTTACATGAGCCTCTTTTAGTTGTGTGTGATCGGAATTATTTCCCCCTAGCACTGTGTCTTAACTTTTAAACTGTTATTTTTTAAGCCATCTAAAAGCCATCCAGGCTTGCTTAGCAAGCAAATCATCGTGGAAATTGAAAAAATGGGTAGAAAATCAAGTCTATACTTCAAATAGTACAGAAATGTTCCTTATTGATTCTATCATAGTAACCAATCTTTCTGAAACAATCGGTAGCAACTAATGTAACAATTCGGACAATGTTGCTTGTCAAGCCAGACTTACTGCCAAACCAAATCCTTAGCCTCACCATCTTCTCTCTCCTAGTTCTTTGCCTCCCTGCTTTGCCTACTGGCAAAAATACCCATTCTACAACCTCCTTTTATAGGCCAGATAAATTGAATGAATAGGAAGGGAGAATCGTTGTTGGGCTCATCAAGTAGTCCTTTCACTTGCCCTCACATCTTCATTTCTAAAACCTGGACTAATTGTGGTGGAAGAAAGAACTTCATATTATCTAGCACTCCCTAAAAGCACAAAGCTTGTAGCAATAGGTATAGAGATGCCCATCTGCAGTTGGCAGATTTTCACAACCTGACAGAGAGCATCTGTCACTGTTGCTACTTAACACTATTGATGGATCTTCTGTTGATTCACACATAAAGTGTTGAATGGATTCTATCCCTTTGGAAGATGCATAATACAAGGTGAGAGGGATGTAACTGCCTATCAGCCTAGTTATGGTCTTTATTGTATTACTGTATGGTGTGGAATAATGAATCAGCTTGGTATAGTGATCAAGGCATCAGGCTAGAAAGGAGGAAGCAGTGAGATCTAGTCTCACCTTAGGAACAATGCCAGCTAGGTGTCTTCAGGCCAGTCATTCTGCCCTAGGAAGGAGGCAATGGTAAACCACTTCCCAAAAAATAAACCTTGCCAAAAAAAAACAATCAACCTACAGGAACTAATTAGTTAAATACTGACTCAAAGGCAAAAAAAAGCATGCTGTGTTACATCATAGCCTATGCTTTGTTGTGGTGACATGAATGTGGCCACAATATTGTATGTGTGTGTGTGTTTGTTTGTTGACCTTTTCTATTCTTTTGATTCCAGTGGGAAAGACTTTAATTTTCAGTGAAAATTCAATTCCACTAGAGGTATCTTTAGTTATAGGATGATTGTTTAGCCTCCCAGCCAGCAGAATTCAAGCTCAGAATTTTAGCTTATAATTTCAATCATACAAGACAGTAAGTTCTACTAATTTTAACAGATACTTTTGAATATGTACATTATATATATATATATATAAATATAAAAATATAAAAATATAAAAATATAAAAATATAAACATAAACAACTATGGCACCCCAAAAGTAAGAAATGCATCCAAGAACTCTAGATCTTGATGAGTCTGGTGCTTAAAAGTTAATTAGAATCAAGGCGTTGGAATATATATTGTATTAATCCATAATCTCTTAATTCTTTCTCTCTCTCTCCACAGAGAGAGGGAGAGAGAGAGAAAGAGGGAGGGAGGGAAAGGGGGTGAATGCAAACCACACCATTCTACAAAAGACCAAATGGAGCAAAGTTTGAATGCAATGCGTTAGTCACAGGTCAACATTTCAGCATACTAATTAAAGTGACTGAAGAGGTATATTTCCCTTTTGAACAAATTTACCATGGAAATAAATAATAGGAAAAGAATTATAATCTTACAAATGAAAGATGATGCTAAGTAGATGTACCAACATTTTCATAAATGAAAGGGAGTATTTGTGCAACAAATGTTTAAAACACCAAACAAACTTTGAACCTTTGTCTTTGTGTTTCTTTTCATAGCTAATTAGAGAACTGTTTAGAGAAATTATTTTGAAAGAAGAATTACAAGGTAAAAAAATTAGAGCAAGTTGCAAATAATTTCTACAACTTCTGAAAATTTATCAGCTTTCTTTTGCTCCATGATTTGGAGTTGCTATATAAGAAATAACTAGCTAATTACTAAATAATGTGGGTCTAAACTTCTCCTTTGAGTGTTTAACACATTTTTTAATGTATCCTCAGTTAATCAAAGACTTTTCCATCTAAAAATTAAATGGTTTGGGGGGAAATTATCTGTTTTTCAGATAAATGCAAGCATTTCAGAACTAGTTACAGATCCTGGACAGACTTCATCCGATTTTAATGCTGCTGATACTCCATAAAATGTAGACATTGTAACTACTATACAGCCTTTTATGTAGTAAGAGTACACTTGTTTTCACTAGTAACTATTTCCTGATGTTCCAATCAAGGCTACTTTTGCAGCTTTGCAAAACCTTATTTATTTGTTTGTTTGTTTTGCAAATACTTTGCAAATACACAAATATTTTCCCTTGCTATTAGTGGATAATTTGTTAAGTGTTTTTATATTTTTCAATATGTTGATTCAGATACATCCTTACCTGAGCAATATTAGTTTTAATCCTAAAATTAAAGTTAGTGTAAAAGTTGTTGAACAAGATAATCTGCTCTTATAAATGTATTATGTAATAGGCTTTGAGGACTAGTCAGTGTTAGATTTTTAAAAACTGCTAAGGTGCTTTTAAAGCAAACTAAGACTGCAATTCATATAAATATTTACTTAGGAATAGGTACCACTGAATATAAACATATATAGAACTCCCAGCTGAAAAAAATCATGAGTGAGGACCAATTGAAATTTATTTGGAATAACATTATTACAACTCTACCAAATATATTATGAAATTAATCGTGTTAATCATAATAAGGAGTTGAATTAAATGATCTGGAAGGCCCATTTTCAATCCTTTAATTCTGCAATTTCCATAATCTGAAATTATACATTTTATAAGGTACGTTTTATTCTGTGACATGCTGATGCTAAGAAAAGAGAAATTGAAAATTCCAATTAGCAAATCATATCATCTTAATACGCATTTATTGTTTTTTCATGGTTGGAAAACCAGTACAAGATTTAGAACTGCATAAATAAATTACATTTTGGGATTTCCAATGTTACATAAATCAGACTTTAATACTTTACACAGGTAGTTCTCGACTTTGTTCAGTAACCGTTTGAAGTTACAATGGCACTGAAAAAAGTGACTTATAACTGTTTTTCACACTTACAATTGTTGCAGCATCTCCACGATCACATGTTCAAAATTTGGACGCTTGGCAACTGACTCATATTTATGAAGGGATCATGTGTGGTCAGCTTTTGTGACCTTTAGACAAGCAAAGTCAATGGGGAAGCCAGATTCCCTTAACAATCCTGTTGCCAATTTAACAATTACAGTGATTCACTTAACAACTGTGGCAAGAAAGGTTGTAAGGTGGGGCAAAACTCACTTAACAGAAATCTTACTTAGCAACAGAAATTTTGGGCTCAATTGTGGTTGTAAGTTGAGGACTGCCTGTACTGTAATCTTACATTTGTAAATTGGACAGTGTCCTTTATTTTGTCTCTAAACAACTTCCATAGGGATGTTTAATATTGCAATAGAAATTCTGATATACACACTGGATGAAATTGTTCTTGCTCCACAATTTTTTTCTAAACCCATCAACATTGTTATTTAAAAGCATTTGGTAAATTTACTTACAATGTAATACATTTCCTTCTAGATTTTCAAAACTTCTGTTTGGGATTAAGTGTTAGACCTAATATTAGCTCAATTTCCTCAAAACTGGTTGAATAGCATGCCTGCTAAGCACATCTATAATGGTGACAGAGCTGACTTCAATTATCTTAGTTGTTTTACTGAGATTTTACTCATGTTCTACGTGTTAGACTTTTTATTCAGAAGACAATGAAATTGGGACATAAGATTCCATATAAGATGCTTCTGTGAACATGGCAAGATACAAGCTTTGCAGAGAGAGATGCAAACTTGAAATAAGGAAGAATTTCCTGACTGTGAGAAGTATTAAGAGGCGGGATAGCCAACTTCCTTGAGTTGTAGGGGCTCTATGATTGCAGGTTTTCAAATAAAGCTTGGAGACAGATTTATCAGGGATGGTCAGGTTCCTACTCCGGGCATAAGATTGTATTAGAAGATTTCAAGTCGTCTTCTATAGAAGACTTCTATAAGTCTTATAGTGCAATCTACCTCTAAGAGTGCTTGTTATGGGGAAAGAAACGGGAGATGGAACTACAATGTCTGGTATAATAGTACACTTTTAAGGTGCCACAATACATAGCTATTTTTGCTGCAAGAGGTTTACTCTTCCCCGTATAGATATTTAGGCATTTCTATATGAAACATTTATTAAGCAATTGTGATATACCTCTTCCCCATTTCAGTTTTATTGCTTACAGAACAGTAAAGGCAGAATAAGGTGGGTGGGTAGGTAGGTAGGTAGGTAGGTAGACAGACAGACAGACAGTCAGTTCATTGGCAGCGGTGTCTGGAAGTATCTTCTCTGCTTTACTAGATTACCTGCAGAACTCTCCCAATTTCGTTCCTAAGATCTAGTGATCTAATGCTTTCGAAGGGCCATGGCAAGGAGCGCCCCTTAAATAGACGGAATTTCCAGATGGGCTTCCTGAAACTTTGCTGACAGGTTGGGTTGCGAGACTAACTTGTGCTTCCAGTCCTTTCATTTCAGCCGTGAAGGGCAAACCTACGGGAATCCACCATGAAGGGGAGGGGGAAGATTCCCGATCTGGCGGGCGTGCCAGGTCACAAGCGTGAGCCGGGTGACCGGTTCGCCCACACGGCCCGGAAGGAAGGAAGGAGCCGTGGAGGGGCGGAGCGGAGGAGAGGCAGCATAGAGGAGAGGGGAGGCCTCTAGGCTGCTGTGTCGGTAGCTGTGGATGAAGGGTGCGAATCTCAGACTCTCTGCACGCAGGGTGAGTGGCTCGTCTCGGCTTGGCAGGAAGCGGTTGGCATCGGGCTGGGGTGGAGGCTTCTGGATTTTCACCCTTTCCCTTGATCCGCATGATCTCGATCCCTCTCATCTGCCTTTCTACTCTATTATCCTGTCCTCCCACCTCCCCAGGCTCCCCTGACTTGTACGCATTCCTCGTCTCTCAAGGCTTCCTCTTGGCCTGTGCCTTTAGTTGTGTCTCTTGTTTTCTTAGATCTGGTCGCCCCTTCGCCGCCCACCATCGGCCGCGTTCCTTATATTTCACATTACCCGAATTTTCCCACGTTGATTCCATAACTCTCCCCACTACCATTACTTTATTTTGAGCTGTGCAAGTATGCATGCGTGTGAGGGTGCGCGTATATAAGCGTGATACCGATGTGGCCCTATTAATATTCGCTTTGTTTATAACCTTCCCTAAGCAAATGAGCATCCTGTTATAGGAAGGAAGCTAGAGATTAAGTGGGCCACCCTGTTGTCACAGAGTGAGTCAGTACAAAAAGAGATCAAAGGTGAAACTAGGTTAGAGATTTGACCTGTATGCTGGCACCTACCCGTCTCTCATTAGGAGTCACTATTATAGTACAGATTATGTGCTAAATGCTTGTCAGTTTCTGCCTGTTCTAGTTCATCTTACAAGCAGCCAGTTGAGGTAGGCAGCGATAATGCCCATTTAGAGGCGAAAATTCAAAGTGATTTGTTAAAAGCCTTCATGACATATATATGACGTTTGGAAGGTGGTGAAAGACAAGCTACCCAAATTGGCAAATGTATATTCACATCCTCATTAAAAGCATAATTTAAAATGCTTGTTAGCAATTTCTTCTGGTTGATAATTATTAAGGAATAAACTTAATACTCATGAGCTTCCACTGCTATGGAGCAAACAACAGATACCCTTGAGAGGAACATGAATTATTTGAAAACTATAATTGCTCCCTGGCTTATGGAGGTCTAATACAATGGAACTGGATTTTTCAGGCAGTTTGGGAGTACTATTCAGAAGAGCAAGTATACAATCTTTTACACTTTCGTTCCCTAGACCCCATCAGCAAGTTAAATTTAATTCCTTAATTTAGGAATAATACTGCTTTTGATCAAGTAATGATTGAAACCACTTAAACAATGAAGTTTGGTTTCTGATTTTGGCTTTTTCTGTTAAAAAAAAGCAGGTATCTGAAGTATATATTATAATTGAATTACATTTGTAAAACTGGGTACCTGGATATAAAGCACATAAAATTGCAGTTACACAGAAAGAGGAAAACTCCAAATGTATAAAAATCTTGTACTCCTCTCAAAAAAACAAGGATTAGATAGAAAAAAAGCTGTAAATACACCCAAATTTGTATTGACAGCATAGTTTTCCTTATTTGACAACTAGATTGTATGCATTTAGCCCTATTTACTATGGATGGGGATAAGTAGAGAAGAAATCTTCGAGATATTGAGTTGGTTTTTGTTCTCTTTGCAAACAAGTTGATAGAGGTCTCAGTCCAGGGCTGAGAACACAGCAGACCTAGGAACCTTCAGGTACTGGGAATCATTCAATTTTGTGGCTTTTGTTTCCAGGTAAACAAGCTTTGGACTATTTAACCTTGTACAGTCAGTAGGTTAGCCTCACCTTTGTCACATTCTTCTTCAACCACAGAGGATCCTGATTTTCCAGAGTCTTCATTTATGGGGAGAGCCTGTATGGAAAGAAGAGGTTCTCCCTGTCAAACATCTATTTCAGGACTAGCATATCCTGCCTCCCTTACAATTACTATGTACTTCTAAAAGCTTTTCCTTTTACATTCTCAAGGAATGTGAGATTTCAAATAATTAATTGGGAAAACTTGTCTTCCTTTATATCATACTTATTTCTAATAAGTCTGTAGGCTGCTCAGCTCAAAAATATTTATATTTTAAGAAAACAAATCTATTGAACACATATGACTAAAATGTTTTTCCAACACCAGCTGTTAGACTCAGGATAGACATTTCATGAAATAAGGTTCCTATTACTCATTTGGGTATAGATATCCAAGATTGCCTAATACAGATTCATTCCTTCAGACCATGTTTCATTTCTCTGTAATCAAAATTTAGTTGACTCATCCCTTTGAGGTATATCAGCAATGAATAAGTGTTGATATATTGGTGGATTGAGTATGAGTCTAGTAGTAATAGTAATTTCAGGGGGAAAAATAGAAGAATTGTGAGCTTACAATGTGTAGCATAAAAAATGAAAAATATGTACAGCCGTTCAGTACAGGAAGAAGTCAGAAGGCTAATTTTAAAAATGTAACTATTAATTTAATAGTATGGTGTATATTATATTTGGTGCTGAATATCTGTCACTTGCAGATTTTTAGACAAGGGAACAATAGTTTTTTCATTGTTTCAGAAATAAACACCAGAAAAAGTATTCTTTTGATGCATATTTTGCATTTTGTCAAGTTCTCAAACCACTGGGTTTTATTCCTGATACTGCATGTCAAATTCTTACAGCCTAAATTTGCTCTAGTGATATTCCATTGCCACACTAAAGAGTCTTATAATCTCTTTAATACTGTCCATCCACCTTATCTGTTATCTCCTCCTTCCTCAACCTTGCCAGACATAGTGGTCTTTTCTAGTCCATTATCTGCTTGCATCATATATTCAAAATATATGAGTTTCTGCTTAGTGATCATCATTTTAGCACAGTAATTCCAGGGGTGGGATTCTACAGGTTCGCACCTATTCGCTAGAACTGGTTGTTAACATTCTAAGCAGTTTAGAACATTCTAAACCGGTTGTTAGAAGAAATTACTGGCCTAATCCTGTAAGGAAGGCAGGAATGAAACATTCTGGAGTTGCTTACAGAAACTGCCTCTCCATTAACCCTTTTTACATTCTTGACAGAACTAGACTTCCTGTCTCAGGAATGTCTCTGGAATTTTTTCCCCCTCCTTTGCTTGTGTCTCCATTCAAAGTTACAATGGCACTGAAAAAAGTGACTTATGACCATTTTTCACACTTACGACTGTTGCAGCATCCCCACAGTCACGAGAGGCCAGGTGAGGAGATGCGTGCCTCAATGTGAGTGATGTTGAGTTGGTCATGCCCAGCCAATAACATGACCACCAAGCCATGTCCACCCAGTCACATGACCACCAAGCCGTGCCCATCACCTAAGCCACGCCCACAGAACTAGTTGTTAAAAATTTTGAATCCCATCCCTGAGTAATTCATCTTTATTTGGTCTGGGCTTAATTAATTGGGTTTTTTTTTGCAGGCCACAGTATTTTTTGTATCCTTCTCCAGATCCATAAGTCAAGAGGCATCTGCTTTTTAATATAATTTATTAAAGTTTATAAGTAGACAGCTAAACGATTAATACAAATAAGAAACATAAAAACCAAAAAGGAAAATGCAGTAAGGTAGAAAAAGATATATAAAAGATGATTTTCTCTCTGTCCACACAAGCATAAACCATTTCAGTAATTAACTGCTTCTCTAATATTTCAATTTAAAAATATCTTCTTTTCCTATATCATTCCATATCAATAATCAAATTATAGAAACTCCATCATTCAGTACTATTAATAAAAGTCTATTAAGAGCTACCAGAAATAGTAACATATATATTTTAACCTTAATCAAATAAATCCAATCTATAATCCAATTTACTACGTTTTCTAAGAAATAAATCAAAAAAATCTCTCATAAATAGATCTTTAAAGCTTGCTTTATCGTTCAGTTTTGTTCAACCAGAAATCCCATTAAGAGCCATAACAAATGTATTTTACCCAGTTAAATTTCACTTTATAGTTCTTCTGTTTACATTTTAATAACATATTTTTTAATTCCATTGAATAATGTCCACAAGTTTATTTCTTATCATTTTCTCTTTGTCTGTTTTCAGGACAAAGTAGTTTAATTTGTCTCTTTTGTAAATCCAAGATAGGACAGCTTTCCAAATCATTTTTCTAATTTATTATGTGTAGATTGCAGAGGCATCTGTCTACTTTTTCTCTCAAACTTTCATAACCATATATTACTCCTGAAAGAGCATTGCTTTGGTTATTCTGATATGATAATACTTAGGTGGACTCTGATATACAGAATATTGACATCTTGTATCTTTCTAAATGTATACATTCTGTTTTAGAGATTTTATAAGTGATATAGATTAGATTACGGAAGACATCACTATGTAAAACTTTTGTTAAATTATATGTTGGGCATCAAGTTTCATGTAGATCTCATAAACGTCAAAGATTTAATGAGGTATGAGTGGCAAATTGCTACCAACTGTATCTTCTGCACAAGATTCCCCTGGGTTAAATTCAAATATGTCAGCTCCAAAAGTTTAAATTAACCTTATTTAAATAAAAATAATATTGCTATTACTCCGTTAAATAATTTTTAGTGTCCTTAGCTCACTGCTTCACAAAACAATAGCATCTTCTCCCCCAGAAGGCTTCCGATATCAACTATGAGAATGTTGAAATCATAATTTTTCAACTGTTACGATACAAATTGTTCTGAAGTGTAGATGCATGAAGTTGAAACAAACAGACCATGCAAAAAAGTTTCAGTTTTGGAAGTATAAGTAATGCAATTTAAATGAATGATTAGAAATAGGTATGCAGCTGTGTTAGAAGGTCAGGGCAAAGATGATCCTCCTGAGATGACTAACCAAGGCAATCAAGAAATTGCAATATTGCTTCCAAGGTGTCCTTAGCCCTCTGATTGCTCAAACTGTTAATAAATTAAAGTAGAGCTTAGATTACAACATGTGCTCTAAAATTCCGGATCTGTTTCATCTAAATTGATAGCATAGGCAAATATCCAAAATGACTGTGGAAAACAAGCTGATACCACTGAATTCATTGGGATCTCACCGCCTATTATTGGATTAAATTAAAATGAATTATATTATTGGATGGATTAAAATGAAATGCATACTCTTTATTGGACGGTGTGAATCTTGTCTTCCAGCAGGTTTTCTAT